AAGCTGCCACGTTTTAGCTTTTCTTCCCTCTGTCAAGCCAGGTCCCACCATCCATTTGCTTTCTCGTATACAGAATGTCATTGATGCGCTCTTGTTCCCTTTACCCTTTGCTTGTGTGTGTGTATAACTTTCTATTTTAGCAATAATTTTAAACTGACTTCAAGAAGGAGTGGAAGTAATTGTGTGGCTCAGTCTCGTGTGTGGCTGGAAGTGGCCGGTGGTGACATCACCAGCGTTGTTCTAGCCACCTGGCAGCTGTCTGTGGGGTAGACCGTTTGTGTGGGCTAGATGGTCTCTCTCTGCCTCCCGTTGGCTTCAGCTCTCCAGAATTCCCTCCTGCTCCTTCAGGTCCTGGTACTGTGTGATGCCCTAATTGCCAAGTCGAGTGATCGGCAGGCTTATCCTGAACTCTTCGGCATCTGGGGTCCTCCGCTGGGAACACCTCCCTCCTGTAGTATTTGCGATTCTGGACTGCCTGGTCTTCCCTGGGTGCCTCTAATCACTCTTCCTGTAACCTTTTCCTCTCACCCCAGCGAAGGGGCTCCCTGAGTCCCTCTTCCTCTTTTCTCTGAACTTTGCCCTTCATTGCGACTATTACCTGAGGTCACATGTGTTCTGAGTCCAAGTCCTAACTTGGTCCTGTTCCCACCTTCCCTGGGAGACCCCACTTGGATTCCCACGGCAATTCCACATTATAGGTTGTGTCGGTGATTGCCCCTGGGCCAATGGCTGTCCCACACCCAAGCACCGTGTCCAAGTGACTAGGGGATAGAGGCAGGGACACCAGGAGGACCACATGGATCATATGACTTCTGATTCTCATCTCAGCTGCAGTCACGTAGCCAAGTTCTGTGGGGAAGCTACCTGGAAAGCATAATTTGGAAACAAAACACATAGTTTGGGTGACTGAAAGTGGCATGAGACTTGAACGGTCTACTCAACTGGAAGGGATTATTTAAGGTTGTTGAGAAAGACCCAGAAAGCCCCTAATTTCAGCCTCAAGTTGGGAGTTCCCAAAGTCCCTGGGTATCTGAATTCTTGCTGAAGGTGGGAATAATGGCCTACCCTTGGAGGATGTTAAAAAACAAGGAAGATATTTTTGTTTTTGTGTTTAGTTTTAGTTCAGGGTCCAGCTGATGCAGGTGCTGAGGTTGAGGGCCCGAGAGGGAGTCACTTGTAGCTGTACCCTCCAGCATAAGCAGGCCATGTGCTAGAGGTATGCAGGGTGGAGAGGGTGCTGGAGATGACCTTTGCTGCTCCTCAGTATTGCCCAGCATGGGCCCTCGGAGTGGGAATCCTGCCGGGGTCTCCATCAGACACTGCTCTACACTTTACAGGTGGAAAACTAAGACTTGAGAAGTTCAAAACCAGATTTTGAGGTCACATGGTTAGAACCCAGGACTCTGTCCAGCTATGGCCCTGGCTCGTGCCTCACAGGGCTCCTCCCTGCGCACCACCCCCACTGGCATCACACACTTAGCCTGGGGGTAGAATCCCTGGGGTCCGGGCGTGGTCAGCATGGTGGGACAGGGGAGGTGGTCTCTCCCAGGCCAATTCTAGGCCAGCATCCAGCCCTGCCCAAGGCCTGTGGGTGTGGCATGGTGGGGGCGGTACACACGTCCACAGGGCACTGGAGAATTGAGCGTGGATAGCTAATCTCCTATCCAAACATTGTGGGTAATCTGCACCCCTAAAATAAACCCTTGAAAGATGGAAAGATGTTAGTAATTTCTGGCCATATGTGTCGTCTTCCCTGCTCTCCCCACCTCACGAGAGAAAGTGAGCCAAGTGGCAAGGAAGAGCCTAATGCATAACACGTTTCCATCATTTGATTTCCCCTCTCTCCTCGCTGTTCCCCCCACCTATGTAAACTAAATTCTTTTACACGGTCATGGCAAAGGAACATTAATTTTTGATTTGGGTTGTGATTAAAAGCGATGCAATCAGAAGACTGAAATAGTTTCCACTGAAGCAATATCGGTTTCTAGTAAGTCATGGATGTACAAGGGGGCTTGGTCTTTGGAGTTAGGTTTAGGTTCTAATCCTGATTCTGTCTCTTACTGTCTGTGGCCTCACGCTGGCATGGCTTAGCCTGAGCCCTCCTTGATCATAGTAAAATAATAGCAGTGCCCCTCTAACGTGGTTACTGTGATCATTCAAGAAGGAGCCACGATAGAGCTCCTCTCTGTGCTTCTGTGTGGAGCCCAGCGTGAGGCGAGCTCTCATTACTTACCTTGTCAGTGGGAAATGTATGATCCTCTCCGGGGGACACGCCTGGTCATTCCTATTGCAGCGCTCAGTTCTGGGCCCTTCGGGAAGGAGCTAGCAACCTGGGTTTCTTCTTGGTGGGTCTGGTGAGGAGCAGAATTGCTCTTACTGCTTTGCTGCCATGCAGTCCTTCAGTCCTCTGCAGCCTCTTCCTGTATGTGGTTTCTCCACCTCCTCCTGGCTTTGTTCTACGGAGGGTGGTAGAGATGGAGACTTGATCCTGCCTAGGCCTGAGTGGTGGGACCTCGCTCAACGCCCCCGAGAACTTTTCTCATTTAGTGAGCTGCAGATGGAGCTGATAGCCTTTCCTTCAAGAACCACAGGGTGAGGATTGTCAGCCAACATGGAGGCTGAGCCAGGTGCCAGGTGGGGCCTGTTTGGGCATGTTGGGGTGAGGCCTTGGGGTGCTCCTTGTGCTCCCACCTGTTGCTCCCCACTGGGCAGTGGCTAGTTTAGCTGGGGAAAACGTTTGAAGAATGGGGTCACTGAGTTGTGCACAGCCCACTGCTGTGTGCAGGAAGCTTGGGCAGTGGATCTCGGCCAGTGTTCTGCTCCCGGTGCCCTCTGCTCTCTGGTGCCCTCCGCTCCCTGGTGCCCTCTGCTCCCTGGTGTCCTCTGCTCCTTGGTGCCCTCTGCTCCCTGTGCCCTCTGCTCCCTGGTATGTGGTCCTGACCCACAGGCCCCTGGGCTCAGGTGTTTCTCAGCTCTGAGGTTAAGTGGGCTTCAAGGGCTGTACCTCCTTTCATAAGAAAAGCCGTGGGCAAATACTTGCCAACTACATTCAGTAATGACTTGGTCCTGGGATTTTTTCCCTTTTTCGAGGTAGCCAGGGGATGCTTTTCTAATCAAATGAATGTTAGATTGTGAAGCCATCCAAGTGCCACGTTTCCTTTGCCAACACATTCTCTTCCAGTCAGGAGGAACGCTGACCGTCTCGGAAGTGAAGTCCCCTAGGCATGTAGGTGAAAGCCGGAAGCACGTCTAGTCCTCCTTCCTTGTGTTCTTGGTTCATTTAATCAGTACACTTTGGTTTGGGGCTCATTTTAGAGAAGTTTAGAATCAGAGTCAGCAGGCTGCATGGCGATAGAAAGGGCACTTTCAGACGTGGGGTTAAGCTGAGGGTTAGTGACTCTGGCAAGTCAGCCTAGTCCCTGAAGCCTCAGTTTTCTCATCATCTGTTAGATGGGGAAAGTAATGGCACCGTGGTCATGGAGCTGTGAGGACTGATTGAGGGAATGTGTGGAAATGCTTAGCCCACTTCCTGGCCTACCTTGTAGCCTGAGGTCGCTACTGTTAGTTCAGATTCAAGACTGGACACTGCGCGGTGAGAGCAACTGTATGCATGTCCGTGTCTATACCTTCTTATAAACCCAGAGTATCCAATCAGGGGGTGCCTCCCTGATCCTCATCGCCTCCCAAAGGCCCCGTCTCTCAACAACGAAAGTCAGATGAAGTCTCCACCTTCTTAATCCTGTCACAATGGCAGTTAAGTTTCCAACTCATGGACTTTGAGAGGGACACATTCAAACCAGAGCAGAGGTTGGTTGATTAGTGGGGGCTGAATGGGAGCAGTACCTGTGGTCCAGCCTCTGGAGACCTAGCTACAGGGACCCTGCTTTCTCCCATGCTGAAATGGGCCGTTGGTGAATCACCGAGGTGACAGCTGCACTTGCTGAGAGCACACAGGCTCTGTCTGTCTTATCTACAGGGCCAGCTCTCAAGGAATTGTGGGTCCTTGAGATGCTAAAAAACTAAGCCAGCAACTCTTATAAAGACCAAAAAACACAGGGTAAGTTTTTCTTTCAATGCTAAGATATGAAATTGAACGATATGACCCCCTTCTTTTTTTTTTAAGAATTATTTTATTTAACTCTTTATTATTATTATTTATTTTACTTATTTATTTTGAATTGACCAGAGAGGGACAGAGTGAGAGAGAGAGAGAAAGTGAGAAAAGCCGCCAGGTCTGGGACTCAAACCACGGTTGGCCATGTGGAAGTCCAGTGTCCTTACCCACCATGCCACCTGCAGGGTCCTCTTATTTTTAAAGAGATCTTTGTTGTAGGGTGCATGCACTCACCAGAGAGACAGAGGGAAGGTGAGAAATCCTTCCCCAGGGGTTTGGCCACACCGCAATCTCTTCTCCGTTTTCCTATCAGGATTGTAGGCATGCGTGCACATGTGCTTGGCGTGAGTTTTAAGCCAGTAGGTCTGGGACTCAAACCGTGATCAGCCATGTGGGAGTCCAGTGCGTTAACCACTACGCCACCTGCTGCTCCCAACCCTTCTTAAAGTATTATATGATATTCAGGGTCGCTGAATTTAAAGAGAAGAGAGAGAAACAGGACTTGGTTCTGCAAAGGTGTTTAGACCCCCATGGTGCCCCGTGGCAGTATGGAGAAGCCACTGGACACCACAAAACTAGGGGGCGGGCTGGTGCAGCGTGAATACCTGAGACCTTGGTTTCTATTTACAAGGGAACTTCAAAAAGTTTGTTAAAAATGTGGAATTAAAGTGCATGTTTAGTTTAATGCGAACAATTTTTTTAAATGCAGTTTTCAATAAAATGCACTTTGCAGGAGCTTTCGGAAGACCCTGTGTGTAAAGCCGCCTCGGTCTCCCACCTGCTCTCTGCCCTGCGTGGTGACTGTCAAATGAAGAGCTATGTGGTAACAGACTTTTTCTCCTCCACCCCCTTCTCCCTTTTCCTCTTGTGTCCACACCATCTCTAGCTCTGAGGATGAAAATAAAAGAAGTGAAGAAAGAAAATGGAGACAAAAAGATTGTCCCCAAGAAAAAGAAGCCCCTAAAGTTGGGGCCCATCAAGAAGAAGGAGCTGAAGAAGCTCGTCCTGTTTCTGAAGAACGGGGCGGACTGCCCCTGCCACCAGCTGGACAACCTCAGCCACCAGTTCCTCATCATGGGCCGCAAGGTGAAGAGCCAGTACTTGCTGACAGCCATCCATAAGTGGGACAAGAGGAACAAGGAATTCAAGAACTTCATGAAGAAGATGAAGAACCATGAATGCCCCACTTTTCAATCGGTCTTCAAGTGATTCTCACAGCGGCGGGTTGGGATGAGGGGTGGGGAAGGGCGGGCACCCCGGCACCAGGCAGGGGGCTCCCCATGCTGCTCCTGGTGGTAGTGACCTTGTAATCCAGCTGGCTTTGTTCTTGCAGCACCCCACCCCCTTCCCTCTGTAGCCACGTCCAGGTAAGGAAAGGGCATGTAGATTAGGAAGGCTCTGAATGTCACAGCGTGGACCCGCTGTCACTGCACGCCAGGTACAGATCATTGCAACCAGAGACAGTGACTCCGAAAGATACACATTGCCAGTGAAAATAGGGGATTGGGTAGAAGAGAGGCAGCAGCAAAAATTACATTCTGCAACTTCCTTCATGTTAGAAATTGCTTGTGGTCGGCTCGTCTCTGCCTTTGGGACTGGAAGGTTCTAACGCTGGGTAAGTCGTACTGCTTTCAGTCCCCGAGCAGTTTCTCTTTCTGTCTGCTTTACACAGAAACAGCCATCCTATGCTTAGGATTTAAGGTCAGCGCCAAAACTGATAGATGCAGACAAGAAAAGGCAAGCCCAGCCTTGGTAGCACAACGGGGACTCAAAGGGAGGGCCCTGCCTGCCTGCCCTCTGCTTTCCATGCCACTGACTTCCGCTAAGTCCCTGCCCGTCTCAGATGCCACGTCAGTGGGGTTCACTCCACACAGTGCATGGTCTCCCCTCCAGACATGTGGAGGGTGGCACGTGGCTGCCTTTGTGTCAGGAGAGGGCCAGCACCGTGGGCATGAAGGAGAGGAGGATTTTCAGATGGGGAAGGCAGTGGTTAGTGGTTTCCAAAAAACATGGTTAAAGATGAAAAAAAAAAAAAAATCAGGACAGTCCAGCAAATTGCTAGCTAGCCGGGGTGAAGAGCTTAGCGTCCTGACTTTATCCGGTTATTTGTTTCTCATTTTTAAAGAACAACAAACAACAACAACAACAAAACCCCACTTATTCTTTAAGGCTTTTTAAAAATGTCTACATTGAGTGTTTGTAGGGTGCGCTAAAGGTCCTGGGGTGCGTTTGAGGTTATTTTCTCCAAGTCAGCTCCCATCGGCGTTTGTGGCAGAGATGGGGTCGCCTGGTGGCATAGCTCTGGGTCCTTCCTAAGCAGTTCGGAACCTAGCAGGACACCAACAAGATCACAGGCCTTCCCATTCTTCTCTGTGAAGAAACTGATTCCTTTCAACTGGATTACTTGCAGATCAAGGACGTTTGGAACAGCCTGCCTGCCTGTGCCCCTGAACTTCTACTCTCTTGTGTTTCCACTTCTGCGGAGGGCATGTTGATAGTGTCACCCTCCCAGGAGAGGTTTCAAAAGCAAAGCATCTCTGCAGTGTTGCCCAAAGTGCCCTAAGACGTGCCTAGAGGCCCCGATGTTTAATAAGTGCTGTACATAAGTTCACTTAGGTGACGTCACTCTTGTCCCAGGTATAGGAAGTAGTTATAAAAACTTAACATTCATTTCTTCCCCAAAGCCCGATTTCTTAATTCTCTGTTACACCTCGGGGACCTCAGTGATTGTTCTCCTGGGTGAATGGATGCTGCAGTGAGGCTGTCAGGTGTCACCCCAGCGGCCCTGGACAGACATGGAAAGA